CATACATACATACATACTCACATCCATACATGCATGCATACATACATACATACATACATACATACATGTGTGTGTTTGTGTCCCCGTGCGAGTGCGCCTGCGTGGGTGTGTTTGTCTGGGTACACATAAATTGTGTCTTTCTTCCCACGGTTTGAGGGTTAGTTTGGTTTTCGCTGCAACCACAACACATTTTGCTGCTGCTATTGCTGCCGCTGCTGCTTCTCCTGCTTCTCCTGCTTCTGCTACTGCCACGGCTACGGCTCACGGCTACCGCCGCTACTGCTGCTGCTGCTGCTGCTGCTGCTGCTGTGCTGCTGCGGCTGCGGCTGCGGCTGCTGCTGCTGCTCCTGCTCCTGTTCCTGCTCCCGCTGCTGCTCCTGCTCCTGCTACGGCTACCGCTACGGTTACTGCTACTGCTTCTGCTACTGCACCTGCTTCTGCTACTGCTACTTCTGCTGCTACTGCTGCTCTGTGGCGGTTTGCTTTGGATGCTGTGAATTGTGACGTGCTCCTCTCACCACGAGGGTGTTCTGTCGAGAAGTGCCGCCCGTTGGATCGTTACTTCTGTGGTTTGCTTGACTTGTTCTTTGGTTGCAGCAAGCCGGAGACCAGCTTGGCGATAGGTGTCCTATGCCGTGCTTCGGTTCGTAGACAGTCGACGGCGGTGACGACCTTGACGACGACGATGATGATGATGGCGACGCCGACGACTGTGATGACGACGACGACTGCTACTGCTACTGTTACTGTGCTGGTGGTGGTGGTGGCGGTGGTAATGGTGGTGGTGGTGGTGCTGCTGCTGCTGCTACCACCATCACCAGCAATTCACTAATTACTATGACCCCTACTACCTCCGCTTCTGTCTCCTCCTCCCTGAGTAGTAGTATTGCCATTGCTGCTGCTCGGTCCGCTGCTAGATCTTGTCCCCGTTGAACGTGCATTTTGGTGGTCATGTCTCATCAGACCCTTCACCCTAAACCCTAAACCCTAAACCCTAAACCCTGAACCCTAAACCCTAAACCCTAAACCCTAAACTACTCTTAGAGACCTGGTCTTTTTCCGCTCTGCGGGCGACTGCAATCTATTCCGCCAACCTTGAAAGCCATAGGGCAACAAACACTTCCAAGTGCACCGTAAGCCTAGCCTCGAGGAACATTCTGGTGTTTGACGGCTCGTAATTGCTATAGAAGCTTAAATAATTACCAATATTATTCCTTAGGTTCCTTATTAGAATACTTTCAAGGAGCCCAAAACCCTATTCTACTTTTGAAGGCCTCTACATTAAGGCCCCTACATTTGAACCCTAGTAGACCCTAGTAGACCCTTACGAGCAACCCTTCAAAGGAACCCTGTTCTAATTTTTAAGGCTGCATTACGGGTTCCGAACCCCAAAGAACCCTAAAACCTAAACCCTCAGCCCTCAACCCTAAACCCAAAGCCCTAAACGCTAAACGCTAAACCCTAAACCCTAAACCCTAAACCCCAAACCCTAAACCCTAAACCCTAAACCCTAAACCCTAAACCCCTAAACCCTCGGAGCCGCCTTCTTTGGGACAGGCCCTGGGTGCCCACAGAGAAGAACTCGGCCAGGAGCTGATCGAGTGAGATCCCGGGGTTTAGGGTTTAGGGTTTAGGGTTTAGGGTTTGGGGGTTCAGGGTTTAGGGTGTAGTGTTTAGGGTTTAGGGTTCAGGGTTTAGGGTTTAGGGTTCTCTCTTTTCGGGCCTTTTTCAGGGTTGAGGGTTTAGGTTTGAGGGTTTAGGGTTTAGGGTTGAGGGTTTAAGGGTTCAGGGTTTAGGGCTTAAGGGTTTAGGGTTTAGGGTTTTAGGGTTTTTAGGGTTTTTAGGGTTTAGGGTCCAGGGTTTAAGGGCCGGAATGCGACCTGGCAGTGCTTGCAGGGGAGTCTGGGCCTTTCCAGAATGTAAGCAATGTAAGCCCTCTCCCGTGGCCGGCGTTCGCAGAGCGGCCAGGTACCTTCGTGGCAAGTCCATGCCGTCGACGCACATCGCCACCTTGCAGGTTTCGGTGTCCGTCTAAACTTCCGTAAAGCTTCTCTAAATCTCAGCGAGGCTTTGTAGAACCTTCTGAAGCCTTGCTCAAGTTTTGGGCAACTCAGGGGTGTAGAGTTAGTTAGTTAATTTAGGGGCCTTAATAATTAGAATAGGTTTTGGGGTATGTTATACGATCACTATAATAAGGAGCCCCAAAACCCTATTCTAATTATTAAGGCCCCTACATTCAAGGTTTTGGAGATTTGCAGCGTTGACAGGACGGCTGTTCTTATAAAGCCCAACACCCGAAGGCTTAGAGCTCGTTAAGTCCTATTCGTGTGCTGACGGGTGGTACAGATCTTTAGAGTTCCTAAACCCTATTACTTGCTAAACCCTAAACCCTAAACCCTACTTTCTAAACCCAAAACCCTACACCCAAAGCCCAAAACCCTAAACCCAAAACCCTAAACCTTAAACCCTTTTGGATACACTGTTGTGATTGTGTCCTGACGTTAGGGTCGAAGCTTCCGGGACTCTAAATCCTAAGCCCCAAACACCAAACTCTAAGCCCTAAGCCCTAAACTCTAAGCCCTAAGCCCTAAACTCTAAGTCCTAAACCCTAAACTCTAAGCCCTAAGCCCTAAACCCTCAGCCCTAAGCCCTTGGTTGTTCTGGCTGTAGAGCCTCGGTCAACCTTTCAAACCCTGTTGAAAGCGCACAGGGTGCCAGCAAGGTCCTTACTAACTCGAGTGAGGTCTTGGGGCATATCATCCTCTAGTCATATATCCCTAAACCCTAAACCCTAAACCCTAAACCCTAAACCCTAAACCCTAAACCCTAAACCCTCAACCCTAAACCCTAAACCCTAAGGGAATACTGTTACTACTTCTTTCGACCGAAGGCTTCCGTGGCAGCCGGCAAGGAACATCCAGGCCGGGAGAGGCTTTAGGGTTCAGGACCTAATATCGGGGCCTTGGTATGGTTTAGGGTCTAGGGTTTAGGGTTCAGGGTTTAGGGTTTAGTGTTTAGGGGCCTTAATAATTATCTATATGATTTTTGGGGGTTCCTTCTTATAGTATAATATACCTCCCAAACCCATGTTCTAAGTTTTTAGGCCCCTCTATTACGGCAAGGCCGTGGCTACCTGCGACTGGAAGAAGAACTCCAGGCTTCCAGTCACAGACCCAAACCCTTGAAACGTGAGCCCTAAACCCCAAACCCCTAGACCCTAAACCCCAAACCCTAAACCCTAAACCCTAAACCCCTAAAGCCCTAAAGCCCTAAAGCCCTAAAGCCCTAAACCCCGAAAGCCCTAAGCCCTAAAAGCCCTAAGCCCTAAGCCCCCCAAAACCCTAAAGCAACCTGAAGCTCCAGACACAAATCCGCGAACACTAAACCGCGGACCCTAAACCATAAAAGAGAGGGGCATAGCGATTTCAATAGGGTTTGGGGGGGGTATATTATACTATACTATAATTAGAAGCAGAAGCCAGCAAAGCCCTATTCTAATTACTATGGCCCCTACATGACCCCTGAACCCTAGACCCCAAACAGACCCCCCTTCAAACCTCAACGGGCTGCTTGCCAGAAACTAGACTTAAGCCCTTCATTAGCTGAACCCTAGACCCTAAACCCT